CTAGCAAAGACCGGGATTTCAACCTCACAGCTTTTTGATGTTAGCCCAAACAGCTTATGGGCTCTAGTGGAAGGAGAATGTAAGGGATACAGTCCCACTGCCTCTTAATTTTGTTCGGCGTTTAGCCTCTTCCGTACCCACACGGGGGGAAAAAAAAATCAGATGCAGATAACTTAATTGATCAGTTGCTCGTAAAGGAGAATATTGAGAATTGCCGTCTCATGTTTCAATTGGGAAGTGGAATTAAAGTAGAAAAATTAATTTGGAGGTCCAGTTTTTTCAGTTTGGAATCAGGTCCTTGATTCCCCCCCTTCTTTGTTAGATCCTCCCTCTTTCTCCTGTCAAGTGCATTAATCCTTGTTGTTGAATAAGACAAGCACCGTTACAACTTCCCATTAAATCTCCTTCCCCACCGTTCTCCTTCACCGATAGTTAGGGGTGAGTATTCGGTTATTCGGTTCGGTTATCATTGATAACCGAATTAACCGAATAACCGAATAGTTTACATTTCTAACACCGAACCGAAACCGAACACTTCTAACTAACCGAACCGAATTAACCGAAATAAATCGGTTCGGTTAGATAGTTTGTTCGGTTATCTAGCAGAAATGCAAGGCAGTAATGGTTTAGAGAGGCTAAGAGAAATTAGAATACAAGTTCTAAATTAATGAACAGAGAGCAACAAGATCAATAAACTGGAAAATATGAAGAGGAATAGGATAAGACGAATCAAAATACAAGTTATAAATCTAATAGCAGAAAGCCTCCAAGCAACGGAGTGAGAAGGGAGAAAGGGTCGATCAGCTGAGAGTGAGCACGGTGAGAACAAGCAACGGCTAAAGATTGGGTGTGGGTCGACAATTGAAGACTGGAGAGTAAGGATGGTGAGTGGAAGACATCGAGTGTGAAGCTGTCATTTGAAGATGGAGACTAGAAGCACCAAAGGTGAAAAGCTAAAGCTGGAGTTTGAGAGCAATTGAGTGATTGCTGTTGAGTTACTCTTGGGGGCGGGATGTGATGCGGCAACACAAGAGAAATGCAAGTGAAGTGTAACACGCTCGGGTTTTTTCTCTTTATGGGCTTCAGGCTTTTTTTCCAAAGGTGGGCTTCATTTTTTTTATAAGGTAAAATTACTAGATATTTGGGCTTGGACTCAATAGACAGTAATAGCCCAACTTCATTTCATAATTTGGTTTTTTCGGTTAAAACCGATTTTTTTTTATCATAACCGAACCGAAAACCGAAAACCGATATTGTTTAAAATAAAAACCGAAAACCGAATTAACCGAACTGAAAAAACCGAATTAGGTTCGGTTCGGTTCGGTTTTCAGTTTCGGTTTAATTTTGCTCACCCCTACTGATGTCTGAGTACGAGCTTGTCCATGAAACTCGCGAAAACCTCGAATTCCAGCTGCATCCCACTGGTTCATCTGATATGTTTCCCCACCTCCACTTTCTTCTCCTTTTACTATTTCTCCCTTAAGCGGTTCACTAGACTCACTCCGTGTAAACCACCATATCGAATGAACAAAATCAAAAGCTCTATTCCTGATCTCCTCATCCTCGTTACTTCACTCTTCTTTCCTACATTGCACGTGCTAAATTATTCGTTTTCTTGCTACACTTTTCAACAATTGTTTATTCCATCTCCAAATATTCACACTTCTAATCCTCTCTCTTAAATTGAGCTTTTAGGCTTTTGATTCATTTCTCTAGTGTTTTGCTCGCTAACTTGTCATCTTTCATCAAAGTTTTGAGCAACAAGACCACAATAAATTTTGAGAATTGGATTTGCAAATCTGCATTCCTTTAAACTGTTTTTTAAATTGAATTCATACTAATTATACAATTTATCTTTACTTCATTTTCAGATTGAGTTTATTTTTCATTGGTTCCTCTATTTTCTGCCCATCCTCTCAGCTTAGATTTGCTTCTACTTAGTTTGGACATTGAATATTCTAGGACCTGATTCAAAACTGAGAAAAACTATAAAGACCTCTAAATTAGTTTTCCCATTAAAGTACTGCCTTCAACCTTTAATATAAGAATTAGTTTGATATTTAATTTGGTTTTTAATATAAGATTCTCATTCATTTTGCCTCTTATATTTGTTCATTGTTTTCAAAGTATTTCTTATAGTAGTTAAATATATTAAAGGTTTTATCAAATGATAGTTTGATTACCAAGATATTTTAGAAAAAATAATTATTATTAATTATAAATAACTAATTTAAATTAGTGTTTATACTTTATACTAAGTACTGAAAGTAGTATATATCAAGAGACTGCAACAGGGCAGCCCACGCTCTTTCAAAGACGGGCATATCTCACTCTTCGCTGTTGGATAATTGTTCGGAAAATTTGAAGACTCTTGTGGATAAAGACTGTACAGGGAATAATCCCAATGGCTTATTATTTGGGCATCACAGGTACCCCTCTTATTGTTGGCCCAATCCCTTTTTAATTTACACAAACTTATCAGCTTATTCTTAGCCCAAAAGAAAAAATAAAAATGAAGCATGTATTTTTTAAAAATTTAAGATTCAACTGTCTGAGCAAACAAGAATTTGAATAGAAAATAATGAACCTCCGTTAATAAACTCAAACTTATTTACAATATTAGAGTTATGATTGCTAATAGCGTTTGGATTGATTTTGAGATAAATTGATTATTGAGTTTAGCAATTTGAAAGTTAGATTGAGGTTTTACCGGTTTGGACTTTTGAGCAAATATGAAATCCAGGATTACTGTCCTCATGGATTTTTTAGTAATAAACCAGTCATAGATTTCATTGTTTTGTGTTACATTTTCATGAATTTTATTATCTATAATCGTGCAATATATTACCTAAAAAATGTTCTTAACTTGTTGCCACAAAAAAAAAAAAAGTTCTTAAATTCGATCAAGGGTCAACTATGCGTTGGGGAGATAATTTTATAATTTATACGCAAGATTAGTCCAATACAATTCAAATTACTAACACTATCTTAATATAAGATTCAGTTGACTAATTTAAAATTACTTTAAAGTATTTATATTTATTTTTTCTCTAAACTAATTTATTTCACTTATAAATTAATATATAATTTACTAATATACTCTTCTGGTCCTATTTATAAAACAAAGAGAGAAGATATTTTTTTGTTCTATTTACAAGGCACTGAGAGAAATGTTTTTATATGGATGTACAATTTTACTCTTCATTTATTGTGTTTACTTTGTCTACATAAGGTATAATTATATTAAATAGGAATAAAGTTGAAAAGTTGTTGAATTTTAAATGAGAGTTAACGAAGTTTAAGATTTTTCTTAGTCTGTATGAAACATTGGAGTGACTTATAAATAGAATCAGAGAAATATATAAATATTTTAAAGAGATCATATAACATACGTTATAATTAAAAAATTTAGTAACTCTTCACAAATTAAACAATTGAGTCTTATATTAAATATTAGATCTATTACCTTTTACTAGACATGTTATGATTTACACAACATGCGCGATCAAGTTTTGGCTCGATAGGTGGCCAGAGTAGGAAGGAAGAATCGTCAATAAGCCAAGTATTACACTAGACAATATGAATCTAGATGCTATAGTGAAAGAAGTTCATCGGGATGAGGGGAGTAAATGGCACTGGTTTCCGGACATGTTGCAAAAAATGCAAGATATACCACTACCTTGTGATGAGGATAGGGATGATAAATTTGCATGGATTGGAGGTACAGAGGGTGCTTATCAGTTTCTGATATCTACTGAAAGTGTAAAGGGAGATTAGAAGAGGGGAGGGCTTGATTCTGGAGCTGTGTGTGGAAGCTAAAAACTACAAGGCACATTCTGGTCTTCTCATGGTTAGCCGTCCAGGATTGACTCTTCGCGGCAAAACGATGTGAGAAGATCCTTGGAAATCATCTGAGAGGTATTAGATGTGGGATCGCTGAGGAAGACTCGATTCATGCGCTAAGAGATTGTAAAGGGTCAAAAAATATCTGGCAACCTCTTGGCATTGACCCCACTGATTCGAGCTTTTATGGAGGTTCCTTGAAAGACTGGTTTAGAAGTAATCTGATAAAAAGGTGGGTCTGGTGTGTGAAGTTTGGAGTAGCATGTTAGTGGATCTGGAACCGGAGGATTAGAATGCTCTTTGAACCAGATTTTGATATGCCAGCGAGACCTATTACCGTCATTAATAAATGTGTACGGGAATGCCTCAATTTGAGCTCTGATTTTGATGGTGGTTGTAACCCTCTCAATTCTGAACTTTGAGGAGTGGTTTATGGGTTGAAGTTGGCGCAGGGTTTGGGATTTTCAAAACTCGTTGTTGAAAGGGACTGCTCTACTATAATCACAAAACTTCAGGAAGCGTGGAACCTTAGCACATCTCAAGACAGGATTCTGAACTACTGGTTGCGTGATTTTAACAAGAGTTTACAGATTCTTTTTGTACCTACTTAAGAAAAAGGCAATTTTATAACAGATTTTCTAGCTAACTATAGTTTTACTCTTAACAATGAGTTACACATATTTGAAATACCCTGGTAATGTGGTGAATACTTGTCTAAAAGACTTAATGGGTGTTTCTTGCCTACGCTTTCACTTTAGTTGATGAATAAATAGAAGTTCTTAAGCCGTCTTGCCCCGTTTCTTACCAACAAAAAAAAAAAAAAAGATAAATATATAGATATTGCACACACGGGCGGTTCGTAACAACATTGTCATTATTAGCACCTTCAAGTTCTAGGCTTAGCGAAATAGCAATCAATTTTCCGGCAAAAAAAAAAAAAGAACAGAGAAAGAAAAAGCAATCAATTTCGTTATGAAGGACTTTCCCCTTCAGCATTTTTTTTATAAAACTCGATCTTCCCTTTTCTTTTGAAGCTGGTTCACTATGTTATATTAACCAACTAGAATCTGTATTAATAACGTTGTAGGAGTCAGGTATGTTCATTCAAGGTTTTTTTTTTTTTTTTTTAATTTTTAAAGTGAAGGAAGGCGAAAAAGTAGAGTGAAATATTATCATTGAACCCTTGGGCGAAGCACAGCGAAAATAACTCAAACCAGACATTACATTGCTTCCTGAGCTTTTTCATCAGATGTCTCGGTTTTGGTTTTATTTCGTTCTGCATCCTAAATTCCTGATATTAATACTAGCAAGTAAGCATGTGACGGGTTCAAGTAGACACATTCAGGAAAAACAGGATGAAACGAACTCATAATATATATGGATTTCAATCGGTCTTGACGTCAGGATTTTGGATGGAAGACTGATACAACACGTTCTTGGCTTCGGTGGCGTCCAGAATCTTCTTGCTCAATGCTTCCTTGGCCGAATCCCCACTCATATACATCAACCTCAATCCCCACTCCACCAGTTCTGGGCACAATACCTTCACAACGTACGACATCCTGAACCATCCTGGTACCGTCAAATACCTGTCTCCCCTCGCCACGCTCTTCACTATTGCTTCTGCACACCCACTTGCTGATCCCACCGGCACTGCGCTCACTTCAACCTGCATCACCATTATTAGTATTATGCCTTTCTTTCTCAATCCCTAAATCAATCAAGAAATGTCATATATATGCATAGCGCTTACATCTCTTAGATCTTGATCTACCTCCACCCTTCCTTCGCCCATCAAGTACTTCCCCTTGGTTATTTCAGACTCTATGTAGCCTGGGGTTACTATGGTTATGCCCATATCAGACCCAACTTCCACCCTCAATGTCTCGTACATGGAGACTAAAGCGGCTTTGCTTGCCTGAACATAGCACGTATTAGAAATTGCAGAGGATGAACTTATGGGCAGAAAGCATTATGTGACATGGCTTACACTATACACGTTTCTTCTGGGTGCTGGCATCCAAGAATCCACAGATGACATTACTACGATTTTCCCTCGGCTGGTTTTTAGATGCGGTAAAGCAAAACGAGTCGTGTACACTGAACCCCAGAAGTTTGTCTCCTGCGAGGACATAGACAAGACAGAACATTGAAGAACAGAGAAGAGAAAACAGAGTAAAATATGTGTAAAAGATCCTCATACCATAATGGGCCTCAAGTTGGTGATATCAGTTTCTTCTTGGAACAATTTAGAAGTGGCAACAGCCGCATTATTAACCAAGTGATCCACTGCATGAAACATTCTCAGCAAACAGGTACAATTTTGCGATTAATATTCTCTACTAACTTCGCATCAAAGCAAGATAGAGAGAGAGAGAGAGACAGAGTGTTACATTTTCCAAAATGATTTACAGTTTCGTCGATCATTCTGGCACAATCCTCGACCTTGGAAACATCTGCGTGTATTATAATAACATCCGGAGATCCAAAATCTCGAGCTCTATCCGCAACTTCCCTAAGTGCATTCTCCCTCTGAGCAGAGAGTGCTAAACGAGCACCTTTTTTGCCATACTCGTATGCCAAATGCTGCAAATTGAACAGGAGCTGATGGCAATGGACACAGCACGATTATTCTAGCAAACAGGGAAAAAAAAATGGGCATGGGATAAATTACCTCGCCGATGCCGGAGGAAGCACCAGTTATGAGGACAACTTTGCCGGCGAGATTCTCAGCGAAGATGGAGTTCAAGGTGCAAAGAAAGAACTTGAGAGTCCAATAGGCGGGTAAGAAGAGGGCAAGAGAAAAGAAGGTGAACGGAGGAGCAACGAGGTTGAGGAAACCGTGAATGAGATCCATGAATTAGCAACAGAAGAAACAGGAACGAAAATGATCTGATTAATGATACGAAAGAATGAAAGAAATCTGGGGTTTATAGGTGACCAAAGGAGGGACGAATGCGAGGCAAGGTGGCACCAATGCATGCCATGTAAACGACACGTAGCTCAGAGATAGCGAACGCGTCGGTGCCTATTGTCCGGTGACGTTTCGATTTGTACTGTAACGAGTTCCTTCCTCCCTGCATCGGGCCCGCTCACTCACGGAGATTATCAGACCCGTAAACGACACTGTTCCCAGAGTCGTTTGTGGTTCCATTCATTAGGATAAGGGAGATGATTCGAAAGCTCGCTAGACTCCTCGAAAATCTAGAAACCCCCCCCCCGGGGGAATCAAAAGATGTTTGTGCTCAAAATCCAAAAGTTGGCTAAAGTAACTTTGTTTCGCTGCTTTTGTAAATGGGAATCTGCTCGACGACAAAGTTGCTCACACCCATGAATCAGAAATTAATTATATATTCCCCCGAGCTTAATAGAAAAACTAACTAACTAATTTACATAAATTAAAATTTTTTATTAAATTAGTTATTATAATAAATATGTATTGTTTTCTTTAAAATATTCTTAATAATTATATGTATTTGTTAAAATTATCATGCAATAAAAAGATTATTTTTAAGATCATATACTTAAAACTAAATTAAAAGTCAAATCACTAGTGTTACACTAGTTCTTCAGAACGACAAGTGCTGAATTGAGGAAGACTTTGATCATAGCTTATTAATTAATTACACCATTAGGCAATTTACAGGGCTCGGTACCTTTCCATCAGTAACTGTATTAACCACCATATCGCTACACTTTTAAAATTCTCAATTATACCCCACTGAGAAGCCGTCACGTTTTAGATGGCTGAGTTCAAGCCTCCTCTGCCGGAGGACTCTTGCGATGAATTCGTCAGCCCTTTTGCTGAGTTCGTCAGAAGCAGAGACCACATTTTGTTCTCCACTTTCTTCTTCCCTTTTCATCTTCGTCACCTTCTCTGCAACATTTTTCTCTTGTTTCTTTGATCTCCGGAACTGGACAGTTCGAATTTGAGGCCACTGAGTTTTGCTGCTATTGACGTGTTCCTCATACAAGTACACAGGAGTGGTTGAAGAAGAAGAAGAATGCGGAGAGAAGATTCTGGAGTCTACAACTATGGCCAAAATGATGAGGTTGCCTATGATAAACAAAATCTTTGAGCTCAGTAAGACAGAGGCAAAACCGGGAATTAAGGCGAAGAAGACGAACTTCACAAGTGAAGGGAGGCAGGAAGTGATGCAGTAGAAGACACTGCAAGTTAAAACTATCAAGAAATAGAAATACAGATGGTCGAGAATCTTCTTCATTTGAATAAGATCCTTTGAGATGAAGAGTTCTCTGACTGTACGCCGGCAAAAACGAAGCCCAAAGTAACTATATAGATTAAGGCAGGGGTTGATTGGTAAAATCAGTCGCATGTTAGTTTATAGTTGCTTGTGAGGGATTAACGACTTTAGATAAAGCAATGGGACACGGTGACGTGGCTTTTTGTAGGCAATATTCCTTTTTGATATCAAAAACTATTTACCCCCTTATCTCTGATTCAGTTCAGAGTGGCTTTTCATCTCTTCATTTTTGTCCGGTGTGAAACATGATGTATAATTAATTTCAGCTAAATGCGTTTGTTTTTTATTAGCTTCGTAGAAGACATTATCATGATCTTTAAGGGTGGCTGCTAAATCCAATGGCTTCTTCTGTGATTGAGAATCCACATCAAAGTGATCAACTTGGGGATCATTTGGGTGACAATGAATGTTATCCTTTTATCATATGCAATTCTTTTCGTACAGAAACTTTGTCGACAAATGAAAATAATTTGGACGGATCTCATCTAAGAAAGCACGCTTTTACGAGGATTTGTAAAGCTCTGTCTTTTGACTATGGCAAAAGTGGGTGGGATTTTGTTTCAAGATCTTTAGCGTTTGCTTTATTAATCTTGTGGAAGAAGGCTTATCATTACGGAAAAAGCAAATATGGAGTAGAAAATAGAAATGATACATTCCTAGTGTGGGAATAAGCAATTGTGTATTGAATCTACTCATTATTAGAAATTCCTTACAAGCAATATGAATATTTTAAAGAAAAAAATTATAAATTTAGAAAATAAATTGAATTGAGATTTTATATTTAAAATCAAATCTAAGCCCTTAACTATTTCTTATATTAACTAGCAAAGTTACTACTTCTTTATGCATCATCATACTTATTTGGATCAGAATAATATTTTATTTTTATATAATTTTTAATCCTGGATATTGTCCCTCGCTGCATCCTCTCTACTCTCTACTCTCTAGTATTGTTCTTTGCTTATTGTTAGGACTTAGGATGCAGATCATTCTTGCATCAACGTAAGCGTACTGGGCCCGCTGCCCACTAGCGGGAAAATTATAAGATTACAAAAAAAAAAACTTTTCGCACTTATAATTTTATGATTCGGTCCATATATCTCAATTGTTAATTTGTTAACAAGAGGGTCAATTGACTAATTTCAAAAAATTTAGAAAGTTACTAAATTATTTTAAAATATTTATATTTTCTGTTTTTATTTAAACTGATTTGCCTTACTTACAAATTGTTTTATAATCTAATAATTTATATAAATATTTTATAGAGATCATGTAACATGTATTATAATTAAATAGTTTAGTAACTTTCTTAATTTTCTTAAATTAGTCAACTGAATCTTATATTAAGTAACAGAGATAGTAATTAGATTTTTATGGGGCCAAACATCAAATATATACTTCTGGTACTTCATACATTACCAATAAAACTTAGTTCAAAATGCAGTATTCTTTTACAAATTACTTTTCAATTCAACACTAGCCCCATGATCTGTGACAATCATTCTTCCAAAAATCTATTCAGATTAAATCAAATAATTTATTTGAAAGATTAACCATAATATAAAAAAAGAAATCTTAAAATTATAAAATCACTGTTATGATTAAAAGGAATAAACTTATATCAAGAACAATATCAATCATTAACTTGAGCCTTAGATATCTAAAATCCGAAAATACTATTCAACTATTAACCCAAACAAAACATAGGCTTTCAAACATATAAACTGATAAATCATTTTAAAATAAGTTATGGAGTTTATTAATCGAAAAGTTAAAACTTTCAAAAGATAGTCACATGCAAAGTCTTAGAGGCCCATTGCCTTCTAACGATCCTCCCATCAAAATAGTAGCAATTAAAGTATTAATTTACAATATCAGAGTAAATGAGCCTTATGTGGCAATATGTAATAAATCAACACATAAAACAAAAGAATAAAAGGTATACAAGCATAACAGCATATTAAGCCTTCAAAGCCTTTCCTGATGGCCCACCACCTGAACTATCACCTAAAGATAGTAGAAACCACGAGGTGAAACACAAGCCTCAATAGCCACTTAGCTAGCTTTCCAACTTATTATACATACTAACATGTGCTCGTAGAGTGTCAAGTGGGACAGTTATTAGTTCTCAAGAAATATAGATATATCAATAGGAATATAAAACACATATACTAAGATAATTTTAATTATACAAAGCCTCACTATGGGGGCTAACATACAAGCCACATAAGTTTATCCCTCACTTTGAGGGATGAATAAGAAGCCACAAGGGCATATCCCTCACTGTGGGGATGAAAGAAGCTAATCAATATGCACCAATGGTAGCCTTACCACGTGATATAACAGGACTCAATTCAAAATCCAAATAATAACCAATCATTCACAATATAACAAGAAATATCTCAATTTTTTCTTAATATAATCCATAAAATATAAATCATATATTTTCTCAAACGACACAATCATAATTCTAAAAGTCCCACAAGACAATTTTCATAGTTCAAAAAGGTATAACATATTTCCTTAAGTTTCAGATAGCACATCATTATTTGAAAATATCAAAATACTCACAAACAGCATATTAGTACATATAATAAGTGGAAAGTGATTATATCTCGCCAAAGTAATAAAAAAGATTACCATAAGGTCAATCCCGTGCTCAACCAATAATTAATTTATGCAATTAATATGACCACTTATTAATATAAGTTATTTAATTAATTAATTAACTTATATATTTTAGTTAAATTTCTAATCTAATTTAATTTAATTTAATTTTATATTATAAAATTCTTAATTTATAAGTTAAGTTCCAAACTTCAAAAAAAAATCTCTAATAATATATCTTCAGCATTTTCAACATTTTAAACCGATTAAAATCTCAATAATATGTCAAAAAATCCAAATAAATTATTTAACTTAATTTTAATCAGTAAAAATGTGATAAATATCGTATATACAGATTTTTTAACTAAATAAATTAATTTAAATATTAAAAATCAACAAATAGACAAATCTACACTAATTAAAATTAACTATCAATTTATCTATAAATTTCTATGGTCAACTATTATCAAAACTCAATACTTACCCCATACACAAGTCTCAAAATTTTTTCTAATCACTATAATAATATTGCCATTAGGAAGCTTAAAATATATAGAAAAAAATCATAGAGAAAATTTGATAAAAAAAAATAATTTTATGTACCTAAATTATCTTCAAAACTTGTCATCTCCCTCACAATGATAGTTGATCTGTTCCTTATTCTCTCTCCCGCATTCTTTCTCTCTTGTGCCTCATGGGAAATCGAATTGTGGAGGGTATTTTTTAATACCCCACACATTTATTAGGAGGAGCTTCCCTTTAATAAATTCTTTCCAAATTTTTCACCAAACTTTCGATGGAAAGTTACCTCTTTTTTTATATAATAATATAATATTATTTATTTTTAATTATTTTTTACTCCCTCCGTTCCTTATTATAAGAAACAAATAACCGAAGTACGTTGATCAAAAAAATAGTTAAAATTAGTTAAGAACAATTAATGTGTGAAAAGTATAATTTTTTTTCCAAAAATGCCCTCATTAATAAGGAGAGAGAGCATGAGAGAGAACAATTAAATTATTAAAAGAAAGAGAAGTGGGAGGGAAAGAGAGTGTGAGTTGAAGATAATAAATATGGGTAAAATAGTAAATCAACACAAAAAAGTAGAGACAACTTGTAAGTGTCTCTTATATATAGGAACATGCCATAAGCATCAAATGTCTCTTATAATAAGGAACGGAGGGAGTATTATTAATATTATTTGTATTTTTTACATAAATCCTTAAATAAGATTTAGGATATTACGTGATCAAATTTACGTGACGTTTTAAAACCACATGTATAATGTTCCCTTTGAATTTTGAATGTTTTGGAACTGGATTGATACCAGCTAATATACAAAGACCAAATTACAAATCAGAAAAAACAATATGCCCAGTGCAAGGCATATGTCGTAGTAAATCCTCACGCATACCATTCATAGAATTAAGTCAGTCACATCAGCTTCCTGTAAATTAATAATATACAGTTCTGGTAAAAAAAAAAAATAATATACAGATATATAAGTCCGAAAAAGAATATAAAATCACAGGACCATCCCATCATAACTCCACCCTCGTGCCTTTTGCCCTCTTAACAAATTATTATTTATTTGAAAAGAGAAAAATCATTAATTCACATGTAGGTCACAGGGGATAGTGGGCCAAGTAAATGCCGTCAGGTCCATACATAAACAAGTGAGCCGGGCTTGTATATTGGGTTTGGATGTAACACATGGGTAATTTCATTTTATGTATTAGTACAGAATATGATACAGCACTTTAGGAAGAAACATCCAAAAACAGGTATGTGGTGGGAAAGTGAAAGCAAGACGACGAGACTCGCAATTTCCGCCTTCGTCTTCATTAATTCTTCAATACACGTCATGATCACCCTGCATCCCACGCGCAAACACCACATTTATTATCAGTGAATATTATACAAACAATTACAATATCATTAATTAAAAATGGATCTAGATCCTGCACAGTAGAGATGGAAATTGAAATGATCGTGGAAGATATCGAACTGACTTTCTTGGGGAGGATGAAATCCACGAACTTTTTCTTCCCTTTTACGTTAGTAGGCGACTTCTGTTTCTTCTGTGTCGCTATGGACGAAGAAGAAGAAGAAGCCTGCTGGTGCTGATGATGGCTCTGCGTCACGTATCTCCTGATTTGCTGCCTCACGAATCTCTCGTACAGGAAGGCCGCGCCGTTGAACTGCGGCAGCACCAGCCACGCCACCGCCACCAACTTCACATCGTACCATATCGGAATCCTTCATGTTCACCGTCGTACTCATCAAAATCAAAATCACCCAAAATACTAAAGAGCGATGTACATAATTTGTTATCTGTATGCGCGCGCACACACACACACACACACATATATATATATAAGGCTTGTGTTGGTGACTCACCACTCTAGAATTGATTGCAGAAGCATTTCTGTGAGGGTGAGGAAGGAGTATAAGATCCAGTAAGATAGCCACTGCTGATCGTCCAGCTTCGACGGCGACTCTATGGCCACCACGGACGCATACCTGTCATCATCATGGAATTACACGCATCATTCCTCCGCCATGGCCACCTTATCAAAACCCAAAATAACACAGCAACACAAAAAAAAAAAAGTATAGGTCTACTCACAAGGGGTACAACAAAGTCACCACCGGCCTGCAAAAGCAATAACACCATCCATATATTCGTCACTTGCTACGCATATATATATTGGATCTAGAAAAGAACAAGTTAAACAAGACCTGCCGGAATAGTACGTACCCGGCGAGCGAATGAAGGTGGGTGACCAAGGTCCACAATTTGCCCATGTTCTTAGGCAGAGACAGAGAAATCTGATTGGATTATTGGGGGCAGCAAAGAGAAGAGGTTAGAGATTGAGGGGATTGCTTGGATCGCGGGGAAGAGGAAAGACCGGATTCTGCCTTGACGTCTGGGATATTAGTAGATTCCTTTTATACTGAGGAGGTTCTGTGGCCACGTGTAGGCGTTTCACGTCAGGATGAGGGTCGGTGACACGTAGTGAAATGAGACTGATGGATGGTTTCTATGGTTGCGGATGATCCAAATTCCAAAGACAAGGACTTCGCACTTACTCCCTATCTGTTGCACTTGATAAGTGACCGCATCCGCATGTTCACTATTTTAATTAGGCATTGAATCGAACGGGAGGACACAGACGACGTGTGGCACAAGTCTTGCTTTTTAATTATTGTGATAAGTTATACTCTTCTTACCCTATTTATAGAGCAGAGAAAAGAAAACATTTTTTGGTTCTATTGATAGGATATCAAAAAAAAAATTTTTTTTGTATAAATATACAATTTTACTCTTCGTTATTATTGTGTTGACTTTATTTATATAAAATATAATATATATTAAATAAGAATAAAGTTGAAAACTTGTTGAATTTTAAATAAAAGTTAATAAAGTTTAAGATTTTTCTCAATCTGTGTGAAACATATTGAAAATGACTTATATATAAGATTAGAAGAGGAATCTTTTATAAATTGCCGACGCAGTAAATTAACCTTACGTCCACTGAATGATTCTGCTTTGGTTTCTGATTGGCAAATCCCAACAAGAGGAGAGAAGTTGCGAGTGAATGATTGTGGAGGAAGAGGCACAAGGGAAGTTTCCATAAAGTAGGCAAGTGATCGGAAATTGTTGTGTTGAATGTTGATTATTGTCGGAGTAAGCCGAATTACCTAAGCTTTGATTGGAACCAGGACCCTGAGTTATGATTCAATTCATAAATGGATTCAGTGTGAGGGGTAATGATGCTTTTCATACGAAATTCTGAGCCACCACCAATTCCTCGTCGGCATCCAATAATAGAGCCTTTGGATACTTTATCTGTTCTAACATTTATGTCCTTCTATTATTGGATTGCCCCTCTTTTTAAATTTGCTCTATATAAATCATCCTACCATCTTAGCTTCTCTTCCAAATCAACAACATTACCGCAAATTCTTTGCAAAGGATAAAAAAAGAATTACATTCTTAAGAGTACATCCTAACTCTCTTTTTTTTTTTTTGGGCTATCAAAACCCTTTCTATTTTCGTTAAGTTATGAATTTGATTGGCATAACTAATTACCCACATTATTTCGTTCCACAAATAACATCTTCTTACCACATGTGTACATCATAGCATGTGGGTAATATTCGCCAAAGTCAGTTAATGAGAATTAAAACGGCTTCACTTCGCTTGTGACCAGTTGGACAAGATAACATCATGGCCCAGGAGAAAAAGAACATGGCAAACATGAAATATCTAATCTAAGACTAATCAATCTATGGAAGTAATTTTGGGCGAATATCTTGAAATCTCATCATTATCTAAGAAATAATGCTGTGTCGTCTATCCAGGAAGGCTTCTTTGCATTGTAATAGAAAAATGCAATCATCTGAACTAACTCATCTGCCGTCCTGTGTTCTGCGAAGGTGACAATAATAAGGCATCTTGGGTGAGCAATAAGCCCAAAACAAAGAGACGTGTATGTCTTGTGGTATCAACTAAACAACAGTGAAGAGCAAGATCCAAAGTATTCTCACCTTTCTCCCTATATACGATCCTGTTCCCACGTAAAAATAATATTTGTGGGCATTCTCTGGCTTTAAGGGCATATGCCAAGTCTCTCTCTATATTAATGTCTATCTTAACCGCCTATTACCACGCAGTTCAACGCATTATGGTTAAATAGCACAAAACAGAATGCAATAGATGACAACCAAATAGGTAGTCTATAAATTCGTGCTAGATGAATGAAATTTGACCATACCCGCGGAGGCAACCGATCTTTGGCACCCCAGTATACCTTGATTGCTTTCTCCAGCTCTTTCAAAGTTTTCCAGTTATCCATCGCCCTGTGGAATAATTAAAAGTTTAGAACAAACACCAAGAGTTGCCATTAGCTATCAAGGACCCCAACATATATCACTATTCTCCTCATCATATTAACGTCGTTAGAGAAACAGGAAAGAAAAGCTTTCACAAAGAGTAACCTTCCCCAATCAAAAGCATGAACACCGCGAAAAATATCACCTATGGCATGCCATGGCAGAAAGCCAATTTATCTAAAGTTGGACCCTAAAATATCATTTCAGGATCTCAATATTGTCCATATCATACAAAATTATAGACGATGTTAACCAATTGACATATTTCTTTCCCATATCGTTTCTTTTAAAAGTGCTTAGAGAAGTTTAGATATGCATCTCAAGCTTTATCCTTCCTCTGGCGTTTCCCCTCTACCAAACCCACACCCGGAAAAAAAAAGCTGAAAAAAATCATAAAAGCATGTATCAGAAGAGATAGAGGATATAACCTGTTATATCTTTCAAAGACAAGTACAACTAGTGGACTGGGATGGAAAGCATAACTCTCCCATTCCAAACAGTTGATCTCTTGCACCCAGTTATCATCAATCTCCCCTTCCCAGTCAATTTCAACACCATCTTCCCCAATAACATTCTTAATTGGATGCTGTTCAAAATAATCAGAAGCTCTTATTCCCCAACCAACATCAGCATCCAGGGGCCAATTCTTACTTTCTTCCTCAATCACCATCTTCTTCTCTCTGCCATTGCTAGCATCATCCTCCTCCTCCACCTCATCATCCTCCTCCTCCCCATCATCATCATCACTGCTCTCAGAATTAGATTCGTCAGAAATTCTTTCCTTCATTATGTTTTCCTTATTCTCCAAAACATCAGAGCTTTGTTGCTGAATTGAAGCAAAAGTCCTACCAAGTGAATCACGAATGAAATCTTCAACTGCCATGGCTTCGCTTTTACGCCCACGCCTTGGCTTCCTTGGAATTGTTAAGGAGAACTTGGCAGAACTTTTATCATCAACATCAGGTACCTCATTTTTTGGTTTGCGGCTTCCGGTCTTACGTTGAGCTCTTGGAGAGGAACTGGAGCTAGCTTCAGGTTCTGGTTCTGGAACAGGAATTTTTGAAGCAGCAGATGGAGGTACAGATTGCATGGCACGATGAAAATGTACAGGGGAATGCAAGAACAATCTCAAACGAGAAGTAACATTGGTAGAGTCAAAAGATAAATCTTGAATATTAAATGATGAAGAAAGATAAAAACTAGGATCTCTTTCTGTAGCACAAAAAGGTGATAAGCATCTAGGCAGGGCTGAAGCTTGGAGAATTAGCATCTTTCAATTTCACAATGAAGATGCCAACCTTCCCGAAAACAAAGTTATAAGTGGAATGGTACAATTACTTCAACCAACGAATGGACTGCGGGCAGGATCCCATCAGCTTCTCTTCACCTGGCTACACAGATAAATATAATTTGAAAAAATAAACAAACAAGAAAAGTACCATGATCAATGCTCAGCATAAAATAAATAAAGAATGTGAAAAACAACACAGCAGCAATTTCACCACGTAAACTTAATTCAAAATCATAAATCAACATGAACAAAGCAAGTTCACAACTCATGATGAATATCCCCCCAGATTTAGGGTACTAAAATCCAATCCCCGCCTAAGCATATGGATCACTGTCTTGCTAAATACCGTAAGAAAGATATCGTCATGAAATGCAAGGCTTGTGGATTCAATTAGCGACTTTCCCTTGTCAAGTTGGCGAAGTAAAAGGTATGAGTGAGAGACGTCACTCTCCATCCTTCTCCCCAAAAGCAAAGTGAACATAGTCCCATTAAGGCCAAGCAGAGTACTGGGAATACAGATCAGCCGGTCACAGGCTGCGGGCCTAAACGGACCGACACTGCAAGGTCGGAATTCCAGAAATGTCTCATTTTGCTAGGCCTAACCCTTAGCCAGCCTGCAGGCTTTCAGCTTATTAAAAAAAATGCAAGTTTTGTTCCACATGTTTTATTTTAAAAAAATAAAAATAAAGCAATGAAATTACTAATAATAAAAAGCATAAATATAAATAAAATTAAGTCACAAACACAAAACATCATCACATCTAAATATCCATCAACACCCAAAAATATCTAAAACATCCATGAACAAGACAATAACATCTAAAAGTACCATGACTTGTTAACAGGCTCTTCTTGACTGCTAAAAAAATCAAAAGGCATCAAATTTCTTTCACTTGATCAAGCTAGTATCATCAAAATTCAAAAGGATCAAATTGCTACCGTGAACCGTCATGACAAGCACCATTCAATGCATAGAATCAGCCAAAAATAAAGCCACGATGAAAATGGCTAGCACGTATAGTATTGTGTGTATCAAATTTACTCAACATCTCAGTTTTGAACTACAAGACAAGCCCACGAGAGAAGTGAATAAACAAGAAGCCCAATGAATGAACAGCAATCAACACCAGAAACGATTTACATCAGAAAAATCATGCAATTGATAGTTAAAGCAAGAGAAGCAAACAAACAATAGGTACTGGTCATTCCAACACTTATATCAGCAAATACATATATAAATCTATCAAAAAGTCTAAAATACTAACAATCAACGCACAGGCACAGCGAGGGGAGAGGTGGTCGCTGCTGGACGGACTCACGCACGGCGGACACACGGCTCGCTGGTCGCTGGACGCTGGACGCTGACAAGGAGATGCCGAGATGGGGAAGGAGTAGCACGACTTGCTGGACGCCGGTGAAGCTGCTGCTCAAGTCGACTGTCGCAGACGCAGGGGAAGCAGATGCGAAACGCGAGAGCGTAAGGCGAGATGGAGAGGCTGTGGGCGACCGGGCGTAAGGTACGAGCTGAGAGAGTGGGGGAAAAAGCGTGCGGAAAAGGTGAGGCTTTTGTTTTTTGGGGAAGAAAAAAAAGATTAAAAAAAAAAAAAAACATCAAGCATCCTCACAGTCACCGACCAGCTGCTCACCAGAGTTGTAACAACCGGTGACCTTTTTTTATAAAATTTGTTCAAATCTAGTAATACAATTAACAAGTTTTTTAAGGATATTAACAAATTATATATAACATTTAATAACAGGTTTTTTAGTAAATTTAAAAAATAATATTTTTACAATTTTAATAACGCATTTAACAAGTCATGTTATTATATTAACAACTCTCATAACAAATGTTAACATCTCTTATAGCCATTGTGATTGCTTAATAAATAAAAAAATTTTATTGTATAATCTTCATAAGGAGCTAAAGTCAGAAAAACAAACCGAAATCATTGGACCAACTTGCTTAAGCCCAAAAATTGTAAAGGTCATGCTTAGAATTTTTTCCTTGGAATGAAAAATGGGCTTAAAATGATTGGCCCTGTAAAGCTGAGAAAGTAAACAGGCCAATCCTATAGGTTCGAGAGCCAAACTATTTAGGCTCTATTATAATTTTATTTTATTTTATTTAAATTTTTTATATAATATTATTAATTTTTTTATACTGATAGTGATATTTGAAATATTTAGTATTATTATTGTTTTGAAATTAAACAAAATAGTTTGATTTGTTGGTTTTGAATAATAATTTATTCAATTAAATTTTTAAAAATGGGTTAATTTTGACCTTAATAATAATTTGATTTATATTATATGTGTTGATATTTTTAAACTATATATATTTGATAAGAAAGTATTTTTATACTTATATAACTTGTGATTTTATAATTTGAATTAGAGATTTATAAGTTTCAACCATAATGCATCTCAAACTAAAATAAAATAATAGCTAAATTACAAAATTGAAAAGTGAAATTTCTATGAAGAAGAAAAACTTGATATTTTAGCCACTAAAGAAGAGCATACTTATAAAAAAGAGCAATTAATTATAGTGATGATGAAGTTTTAAAAAATTGATGTATTTATCTATTGTATATTTGCATTATTTATAGAACCTTTGGATGTTATTATCTTGTCGATGGATGTTGTAGATGTTCTTTGATGTTGATGGACATTTAAACATGATGATATTTTGTATTTGTAACTTAATTTTATTCATATATGCGCCTTTTTATTAGTAATTTCATTGTTTTATTTTTATTTTTTTTAATAAAACGTATGAGGAATATAAAAATATATATTTTTTCTTAAATGGGACCAAAAATCTGTGGATTGGCCCTCAACCCCTTGGCTTAAGAGTTGGGCTTAGCAAAGTAGAAAATATCTAAAATTTCAGCCTTACAAGACTGACCCGTCTAAACTCGCAGCCTTATAGGGCTAGCCTGTATTCATAAGACTATAGGGAGCCAATATTAAAAACATCAGCCTTCATAAGAAAATTTTGTTAATGGCATTATGAGAGTTGTTATTATTAAAATTATAAAAATGCCACTTTTTAAATTTTTTGAAAGATCTGTTGTTAATTATTATGCCGAACTTGTTAATAACATTAAAGAACTTGTTAACCGCGTTACAAGACTTGAAAAAATTTCTATTTATGATGCCATGACTAAAGTGTAAAAAGCTCCCAGATCACATGATTAATGGCCTTATGAGAACTGTTCATTTAATTGCATGACTTGTTAATTGCTAAGAATACTACTTTTTAAACTTTCTAAGAACCTTGTTGCTAAGTACCATACGGAACTTATTAATAACTTTAAAGAACTTATTACTGTACTTAAAAAAATCCTGAAAAAAAAAAGTTTTTCCTCTAGACTTGAACTCCGGCTACCGCCAGTGGCACCAGAGCTTTGGTGACTAGCTGGCCGATGAGGGTGCTTGATAGTTGTTTTTTTAAAAAAAATAACAAAGGACAATTTAATCTTTTTAGTAAACTTCAAAATTCTAATTTGGTCATGTGTTCTCAAAGAGGAATTTTTATTATGTAAATGACCAAACATAATAGTAAATTGTAAATATAAATTAAGGAAAGAAAATGTTGGTTAAACCGGCTGGCCCATTTGTTTTCTAGCCTTGCAGACCTTTTTTAAATCCAACTTTTCTTTAATCAAAGACTCTAAAGGTTCTCAACTTAAATGGATCAGGCCCAGTCTGTTTCGGCTAACACAGGGAACAAATGACGAGGGAAACAAAATTCAAAGCCGCATTGAACAATCTCACCGGATTTATTTTTTTTTAATTACAACGGCAAGTTAAAAGCTTGGGAAACAAAAACCTTTTACAGGGGTTTCAGTTTAAGAAATCACTCGCCCCTTGTAGACCCCGTAAATCTTCCACATATCTCCTCCTACATACTAGGTCAACCTCTGTCACTAACTAACACTTTGGATAGAAACCAAACTATAGTTTTAGAAATATTTTTATAGTTTATGAAATAAATATGTAGAGAAATTTGCCTCGTTTTATAAAGAAATGTTTCTGAAACCATAGTTTGGAGGTTGCCAAATACCCCCTAAGACTATTTCTGGGCCCACCTGGTGTCCTGCTCTTGCCATGCTATCCGCACATTACATGTTTTCTCGGCTGCTGTAACTTACTCGCACATTTCGGCTTTCATAGAGTAGACTCCTCGCTCTTTCTATCTCATTTTGGAAGGGGTGGTTTCTGCCGCTGTCTCGTGCCACCATACTTATTGCCTCCAGGGAATCCGAGTATATATTAAAGTTCGCTATGCCTAGTGATTTACAGACCTCCAGGCCTGTGTAGATCGCCCACAGCTCCGCCATAGAATCTCACCGGATTTTGGAGCTGGACAAAGCCCTGGGGCTTGACTTCCTCCAATATTTTCCGAGAACAATCGAGCAGACTTACCAACTATGGACAGCGTCTGACAGCGAGGTCGACCAAGCGTGAAATGCTTGTTCTTTGACGAACAAAAAAGGATCCGCTCCTCCTTACTATACGAGATTGTACACTTCTATCCCATTTGCCAGCCCGTTGAATCTTGAAATTTCAAATTAATTTTATTTGCTTCACTTTAATAACATTTGATCACATTTGAAAAGAATTACAATATATTTTTATAGTAATTACTGATTTGAGATTTTAAAATTTTAGAAATATTTTTAGAGATTTTTCAAAAATATTTCGTATATTTTATTGTTTTATCTGTGTTGTATTCTTTTTGAATACGTTATAATTTGTTTTTAACTTCAACACACAATAATTTTAACAACAAAAATAACTAGTTTTATTATATTAAATTGAAGTCAACTATAGGATTTGTTTGGTATGAGAAAAATGAAGAGAATAGGAGGGGAGAAAAAATTTTAGTGAACTCTATTTAAAAAATTGAAAATTGGAGTTAAAAGTTTTTATTTGAATTTTATTATTCTTTTACCTTACCTCCTCTCTTTATTAAAATTTTAAAACCCCACTTCTCTAATTTTTTAAATTGAGGTCATTAAAATTTTCTCTCATCCCCCCTTTCCTCATACCAAACATAGGGTTGGTGTTATGGATGTCTATTAACTAATTTGTAAATTATATTATTTATCATGACAACTTTATCCCAGTCCCGTAAATTAGAACAAGATATAATCAAGACAGATAAAAGACATCCCATTCATTTTTCTAGATGAAATTCCAGAAATTTTTTTTGGGATTTTTTAAAAATATTTCATAAATTTTATTGTTTTATCTTTGTGTTGTATTTCTTTAAAGTAATAACTTGTTATTACCTCCAATACATAATGATTTTAACAGCAACAAAAATAACTAGTTGTATTATATTAAATTAAAGTCAACTGTTAGTGTCATAGATGGCCATTAATAACTAATTATATTATTTATCATGACAACTCTATCCCAGCGCCGTTAATTAGAATAAGATATAATCAAGACAGAACAAAATATCCCATCTATTTTTTTAAAACTTCGAATTTGAAAACCAACTGTGCATGAAATACAAAAAATAAAGATAAAGCCGCACAAAGAAAATAGATAAAAATAAATTTTAGTAATAATTGAAACTTAGCAAAGAAAAATAGTTTTTTATAATCTTGATTTACAAATAAATGAGCTCAAAACATCTATAAAAAAAAATCATATAATCCATATAGAAGAACTTGTTCATGACGTAATCAAAATAACAAATGACAATATATAATTTAAAAAATCAGGATGGGACATCTTATTCTGTTTTCTGTCACATGCTGAAAATTTTTGAGATATATAGATAATACCATTTGCCATTACAATATGTGCATCATATAAGCTTACAAGGGATATACTTATTTAATATTTAATATTATTTAGTCAGACTTCAAGAGGTATATCATACCGTTACAATACTCACGAATGAATATTTTTGGAGCACCAAATCTTGATTGAAACGTTTAAGTTATCTCCATTCCATATCACAGCAGACATGAATTTGAACCAAAAAAAAATTTCATTTTCTCATATCAATCATCATATCCATTCATCTATCAATTCTTCTCATCGGGAAACAAAAAAAAAAAATCTATCAATTCAGTCGCGTGATCTTACCACATCAGTGTCCGGCCAACTAAATTAGCCTGGATCATTCACAAGCATACATTCCTCCAGATATTGGGGTCCCACTTTATTACATGATAATAAATATGTCATAGCCATCAAGATTCCACAAGTTTCTCCATGTAGGTAAGAAGTCATAGTCTGGTTACTTGAAATGAAAGGTTCGCATCATCCCCTTAGCACATTACAACATTTTCACACTTTCCTAATTAGGAGATACAGTCTCTGATCCAGCTCAAACTTGTTGCAATGAGAAGGGTCCCCCACCAGCATCATTAGAAGCCCACCAAAAGATATATTTATCTCCCTGCAACCCAGTAAAAAAAAAACCAAGTTAATTTATATTGCCTGAGGTACACTATCATCACCTTTAAATAATTAAATGATCATATTCATCATTGAACATATAACTGTTCATAC